ATACTTTGTATTTACAATATTTTCCAGTGTATAAGGCGAACCTTTTGCCTGAGTTGCATACCCTGCGACTTATACGGCGAAGCAACTTATTTGTGGATTTTTTCCCATATTTTTAACCCAATTTTTGACTGAGATTTGACCATTTTCATTCATTCTAACACAAACACTACCTTTTTCCACCACTAGAGGCGCTAGAGGATGCTCTAGCTCTCTAGGCTTCTGACGACTACTTGTAGGCATATCTGTTATTCCTAAATCTGCTAAAACCCCGCCAGTCCACCAAAAACGTCACTCGTTTGAGTTGGAGAGAGAAGAGAGACCACATTCATCGATTATTATTTATCAAAGAGAAAAAAAATGCCACCAAAGAGGAAGTCCTAATCTGCAGAGTTCAAGCTGCAGGTTATAAAGTTTGCTGCCGAACATGGTAACTGGGCAGCTGATCGCGACTTTGGGGTGAGTGAAAAGTTGGTTGGGGATTGGAGGAAGGCAGCGTTCACGTTAATGGCCATGAAGCGATCTAAGAGGGCGAATCATGGGTGAAGGCGAGATGGCCAGCTTTAGAGGAAAGGATGAAGACGTGGGTGGTGCAGGAACGCGCCGCTGACAGAGGACTCAACGGTGCAGCTCCGTCTTCACATGATGGCTGTAGCCAAGAAGATGGACATCACTGAGTGTGTTGGAGGACCGTCCTGGTGTTTCTGCTTCATACTTCGACACCATCTGTCCATCAGAGTGCGGACAACCTTGTGCCAGAAGCTGCCTGCTGACTTCACAAAGAAAGTGGAGAGTTTCTGCGCCTTTGTGAGAGGCAGGTAGATGACACAACATCTCTCCTGACCAACTGATCAATATGGACGAAGCTCCGTTGACTTTTGATATTCCCATGGGGCGGAGAAAGGAGAAAAATGTGTGAACATCCTCACCACCGGGTACAATAAAAGGAGTCACACTTCACTGTGGTGCTGACATGCTGTGGTGACGGATCCAAGCTGCCACCCATGGTAATATTTAAAAGAAAAACAATGGATTCAACCTGGATTCACTGAGGTTAGGGTTGATGCAGACTTCTGTACCTCTGTGTCTCTTCCTGAATCTTCTCTGTGATTCTCTGGGGTTTAGGGCTCTGATCGTCTCCCTAATTGACATGAGAACAAAACATCAACAATAACATGGTTGTGTTATTATTGATCAAAAACCATTTTCTAGGCTGAGAAATACTAGTTTAACTGGTCAACAACATCCTTTACAGTTTAACATACCTCCACCATGCAGCCAGATGCGTTTAAAGGACCCAGATCAACATGGACTTTGGAACCATCACTGGGCTTAAACAACAAGACCTCGGTCTTTTTCTCATGAAAGTGTAAAAAGTTCTGTGACGTCCATGCTCTGACTTCTGCCATATATTCCAGGAGTTGGTTCAAGAAGTACTGTTTATCTTGTTTCAAAGGAACATAAATTTGGCTGTCGTTGGCGTAAAAGTGAAAAGAAATACCATGTTTCTGGAGAATATATCCCACAGGTAGTAAATAAAGGGAAAACAGAGGGGGGCCAAGTATAGATCCCTGAGGTACTCCACATGTGAGAGGTGCTACAGAGGACTCCACAGAACCAAAGCACACACAAAAGCTTCTCTCAGTTAAATAGGATCTAAACCACTGTAGAGCAGGACCCTGAATGCCCACCCAGTTCTCCAGACGAGACAGGAGGATCTGATGGTCCACTGTGTCGAAGGCAGCAGTTTAGGTCTAGCAGCATCAAAACTACACAGTGACCAGAGTCTGTGGCTAAGAGAATGCGTTAAAAACTTCCAACAGTGCCAACTCAGTACCGTGGTGAGTTTTAAAACCGGATTGAAACAGTTCAAGAAGGTTGTGGTCGTTTAAGTAAGATGTTAACTGACTATAAACTATTTTCTCCAAGATCTTCGACACAAAGGGCAGTTTTGAAATATGCCTAAAATTGGACGTGTCTGTAGAGTCGAGACCAGGTTTTTAAATCAGTGGTGTCACAACTGCATGTTTAAAACTCACAGGTACCTGTCCACTTGCCAAGCTACCATTTATGAGTTGGGACACAAAAGGAGCCACCGTGTGAAAAACCTCTTTAAAAAGACGAGGTGGGATGGGATCGTTTGGAGATCCA